GATATTAACAAGTCACTCATGTGACAGAATTGGGGGAGGGGAGGGGATTAAAGAGCCTGATGCAAAAGAAAAAAAAGAGCAAGCCAAATGTGACAATCCTCGCTCATCTCGGACACAAGCGGCACCCCCGGGGACCTGTGAACGGGAGACATGCAGAGCTGTTGGGACCACGGTCCCTCGGTTCTGTGAGCAGCATGTGTGACTTTTTTCAGTAGTGCCTTCCAAAACACTTAGCGGTGATAGGTCCCCAAGGCATTGAATTTTCTTTACACCATTTCACTTAAAACATAAATTAGGGAAATAATAATTACTAACTCTAGCTGGTGGAGACATAGGAGCTCACTGTACCAGCCTGCTTTTGCTTACATTGGAAACTGTCCAGAATAAAAGTTTCAAGCAGTTTAATTACAGAAATTACACACAGATAAGGTTTATATTTGCGTGGCACAAAGTACACACAGAAAAGATAAAGCCGAAGTCCCCTTTGTCTCCCAGTCCGTCGCTGGAAGGATCAGCTGTTACCATTTGGGTGTATTTCACTGGCTTTTAATTTCTTACCCTTTCCTGGCAGAATCTGGGCTCTTGACCGTGGCGAACGAGAGAGAAATTGCCCATCTTCCAGCATCCGAGAGGGCCGTGGGGCAGTCAGTTTCCGGAACAAACCGAGTGTGGCTTCCCCTCCCCCTGACTGTGGCCCAGGTGGCTCTGCCCATCAGGATGGCCCCACACTTGCTTCCAGGTGCCACTTACGGCCCCCCTCCCCTCCCGCCCCGCTCTGGGCTGTTGCCACACCCAACCACTTCAGTGCCCGTGTGGGGCAAGTGAATGGGAATTGAGCTACACCCTCCCGCCCGCAGCGTGGGCACCGCAGGCTGGGGGCCGTGTGAGAGGGCAGGGTGAGGTCACACATGGCCAGTGTACCAGCCCTCAGCCCCTCTCAACATCCTCTGACCTCGGTTGAAACCACCCTCCCGTGAGAACAGCCAGCCTCTCGGCCTTTCTCAGCCCTCTCGGTGCTCAGGGCAGCAGAGGGCTTCCTGGTGACAGATGCCCAGACCACAGCCCGGCCGGGCTGGCCCACAGGGGCTGGTGACCCTGTGAAGCCTGACACTGCTGAACCACAGGAAGAGACACTGGGTCCCTGCAGAGCAGCTCTGGACCACGGAGATGAGGTTAGCACGTACTCATTTTAGCATTTCTTCTTCCTGAGTGTCAGGAAGAAGGAAATCGTTTTCTTTGAAGACTAGGAATGTGGAAAACACTTTTTACAATGATCGCTACCTGTGGGTGGAAAAGCACGTTGTCTGCAAAAGTTTGTCACCGTCACCACAGTCCTGTCTGGGTGCAGTCACCCCACTGCACAGAGGGAGAAACCAAGGCACCTGTCTGATGGGAAAATTCTCCCCTAAATGTGGCACCTGAGCTGCCGAGGGCCCACCTGCCAGGGAGGGGAGGAGAGAGGAGTCCCCCCCTCCTCCCCCCCCCGGGGAGCAGGTGAGATTTTAGAGCTATCTCCATGCCCGCCCTTGAGAAGGGCGGTCCCGCCCTGGGCAGGGGCAGCCCCCCTAATCCCAGGCACCAGGCACGACAGCCTCTCCTGTAGGGCCCAGGCTCCCGCCTTCCCGAGGTTCAAGGGCCGGAGGGCCAGGGGTCTGCACCCAGGGGTCTGGCGACTCCCGGCTCACACAGCCCCACCAGGGGGCCCACAGGGTGGGAACCAGATTGTGCCACCTGAGGCCACGCAGACAGGGGCCTTCTTGTGGGGCCGGGCTGGGTGGGGAGGGAGGTGGCCTCAGGACCCTGGTGTCCTGTGGGCGGGGTCACTGGTCTCCACCTTATTTGAAAATCCCTTAAAAGCACTGCTGGTATTTAGCTTATATCTCAGTAGTTGTATTATTTTTAACACAACTCATTATCTTGAACTCCCACATTGTCTGTGGGTCTCCAGAAACCAAAGTGGGGTTGGCCAAGAGTCCAGGCTCTCCAGGGAGGCCCCCAGAGGGGTGGAAGGTGGGCCAGGGTTGGGGTCACAGTGAGGAAGGGCCAGGCTTTGCCCTCCTCGGAGAGGTCCACATCCTCCCCCAGCTGGGCCCGGGAGGCAGAGAGGACTCTGGGCTGGCCCTGCGCCGGGCCCTCCGTGGCTTCACCCTGGGTTTCTACCAGGGCACACGGAGGCCCACCCGTGGTCCACACCCCAGGGCGATCTGCTGCCAATTGCTGCCTCCTGGTGGTGGTGCTGGGGAGAGCCGCCCCCACTGGGGCTTGGAAGTTGGGCAAAGGCGTGGGTGCTGTGGCAGGGTCCCGAGGGACTGGAACCCCATGGGAGCCCTGGCGACCCACTGGGATGGAGGAGTTGGAGAGGCAGGGGGAATGAAAGAGGAGACAGAAGGCGCAGCTCGAGCTCTGGGACAGGCCCAGAGAAGGGAGTTCCTTTCTGGCTCCTGCCCCTCGGGCTCTGAGCCCCAGGCATGTGTCTGCCCTGTTTGCCAAGCTGCTCTCTACACTCAGGTACTGGGCCACAGTTTTGGGGTGTCTCTTCCCTTGAGCAACTGTTGAGTGAAGCCCCCGGCTTGACCCTCTAAGTCGGTGGCACGCACTCGGCACAGCCACTGACCTGCCTGTGTCCAGCCCAGAGGGTCCTGGTCAACAGAGGCCTTGGGGCCAGGCAGTGCCCTTCTTTACCTGCCCGGCTGGGAACTGCAGGATGAGGTCAGGAGAGGAAGCGGGGCCTCGGCTCCAGCTCACTCTGGGGTTTCCAAACAGCTTCTCACCGAGGGCATCCCCAGGGCAGTGTCTGGGCCTCCGGAGACTCCACCTTCCTCATCCAGCCCATGAAGCAAGGGGATGGGAAGTGGGGGGAGAGAGGGCTGGGCCTGCTCCCTGCTGAGCCCAGGGCTGAGGGTGTGAGTCGTCAGGACCAGCCCCGGGGAGCAGGCTGGGGCGGCCTCCACTGTGTGCGTGTGGGGAGGGGGTGGCACATCAGCCACTCCCGGCCACCACGCCGCCACTGCTGCTCTCAGAAGCCCAGCTAGGACGACCCTGCCAGGACCCCTTCCTGCTCCTCACCTCAAGGACTCAGAAAGTGTTCCCCAAGGGGCCTCCGCCACTCCCAGGAAACCTGGCACTGGGCCCCGCCCGAGGGTCCTGCAGTGAGCACCCCTTCGAGGGAACCCCCCCAGCCAGATGCCTGGGAACCCCAGCTGCTCCTCTGCCTCCGCAGCCAGCCGCTCACGGAAGGGAGGCCGGCCTGCTCCAAAATAGCTCTTGACTCACCTGTACTTCTCGGCCCCGATGTCACTGCATGAGTCAGGCCCCGTCAGCCCTGCCTGGAGGACTGTCTAGCCAGGGTCTCCCTGTCTCCAAAATCCCCCCGTGTGCACATCACGGTGAGTCGGCCCCGGTCACCTCTGGGGTACAGTCAGCCTTCCGTGGACCGATGGCTCCTTGGTGTGTCACTGTGGCTGGGCCCATGGTGCCCCAGAGAGTTGGCCACCCATTATTCTAGATGTTTCTGTGAAGGCATCTATACATTCAGACGGGATTAACATTTCAAAGAACAGTAAACGCTCTGGCTGGTGTGGCTCAGTGGACTGAACACCAGCCTTTAGACCAAAAGGTCACTGGTTTGATTCCCAGTCAGGGCGCCTGCCTGGGTTGCTGGCCAGGTCCCCAGTAGGGGGCTCTCGAGAGGCAGCCACACATTGATGTTTCTCTCCTCTTTCTCCCCCCCTTTCCCTCTCTCTAAAAATAAGCAAGTAAAACCTTAAAAATAAATAAATGAACAGCAGACGCCGGGAAAAGCAGGTTACCTTTCCTAACAAGGGTGGGTCAGTCAAAGGCCTTAACAGCAAAGAGGCTGAGCCCCCTCTGAGGAAGAGGGCATCCTGCGTGCTGACCGCCTTTGGACCCCACTGACTTCCCTGGGTCTGCAGTCCTTGGGCTCACCCTGCAGATCCTGAAACGGTCAGCCTTCCATTTCAGAATAAAAACCTTAGATCCTCAGCTTGCCCCTGGGCTATGCAGCCAGCTTGTCGCCTGTAGTGCGTCCGTGCACGTTTGAGAAAGCCACCGGATGGGGGCAGGTGGCTGGGACCCCGGGCTTGGTGGCTGGGGCAGGGGTGAGCCTTCCTCTTGGCGCATGACCAGACAACGCCCCCAACCCACTTCATCCCCGCACGCCCCTCCCGGGCCCCTGCTTCCCAGGGGGCCTGTGGGGCCCTCGGCCTCCTCACCTTCCTTCATGCCCCCCCCCCAACACACACACCCGAGATCCCTGCGGCTCCTACACCTGCGGTCCCCAGTCTTGAGCGTTTGTCCGGACAGTGCTACCCCCCTCCCTGCTCAAACCTCCCAAATCCGCCTGGCTCTGCCTCCGGCCGGGCTCGCCACCCCCCTCTCCGCGACCCGCCCCCCACAGCGCGCCCCGGGTGCTGGCTCTGCCTTCGTATTTCGATCAGTGTCTGGGGCGGGGGTGGGGGGTGCACTGGGGAATGAACCTGAATTAGTTTCTTGAGCAAATGAGAACGGGGGAGCGAAGGAACGAGTGATGGGCGGACGGGGCACGTGGCTCGCAGTGCGCAGCGGCGGGAGGAGGGTTTGACTGGGCGGAGGAGGGGACGCATTGCCAGCTCGCCAGGCGCGCGGGAGCAGGGAGGGCGCGGCGCCCTCGCCGCCTCCGTGCCCTCTCCCTCCCCGGGGTCTCGGAAATGGAGCTGCCCGGTCAGGCCTGGCCAGGGCGCTTGGACGAGGGCGGCGCTCGGGCGCAGAGGAGCCTCCTCCCGCCCCGGCCGCGGGAACCGGCCGCGCCGGGGGGGTCCCGCAGGCGGGCGCCTGAAATCGGGCGCAGGGGGACAGCCTCGTCCCTGGGACCAGAGCCCCTGCTGGCCGCCCATCCACGCTGACACCCTCTCGCCCGGTACGCGGCCCCGCCCGACTCCGGGGTGGGACTCTGAGCCCGGTCGGGCGCCTTCCCCCCTCCTCCGCGCCTTGGTACGCCCCGGGGGACAGATGTCTTGGGATCTTTAACATTTGGGATGCTGCGAATGCCGAAGTTAAATGGAATACCTCCGGGGAGGGCGGGCCGGGGGGAGGCTCGGGGGGAGGGACGGCGGCCTGGACACGCGCGCCCTGCGGCTGCGGGGCCCGGCCGGGGCGCGCGGGCGCGGGCGCGCGGCGCTGCGGCTCCGGGGGACAGGTAAGGGGGTAACGGGGGGCCGCAGCCGGGAGAGCGGGGGATCGGCCCCTGAGCCCACCGTCCTGGGCCTTAGCGGAGGGGGCTCTGCGGGGCTGGAGAAATCCGCCCGGGGGGCGGCAATGCCGCGTTTCTACCCCACGTGCCTGTTTCCTGCGTCTCCACCTTTCTCCTCGGACCCTCCCCGCGCCCCGGCTCCCCGGCCAGGTTCTGGGAAGCTCGAAAGCAGCCAGACAAAAGGAGCCAAGTCTCCGCCGCCGGGATGCGGAGGGCGTGGTGGGGGAGGGGAGAGGGTGGACAAAGGGGCTTTTAAGAAAGTCCAGTGTTTGGTTTCGGGGCGCGTTCCCGGCTGGCCTGGGGTTCCCCGGTCCCAGCCACGCCATCATCGCTGGCCGGAGGTGAACACCTTTCCCAGCGAGAAGGGAGGAGAGGGAAGGAGGGAAACGGCGGAGGAAGGAGCCACCCCGCCCCCTCGGCCTGCAGGGTCCCGGGCCCTTCCTCTCGCGCGCCTCCGCAGCGGGCTAGGCGCTGACCGCTAATTGTTAATTCATTCGGTGGAGTTGGGGTCGACTGAGTGGGCCCTGTGCTGGGGGCGCGCCGAGCGGGACAGGCCCTGGCCTGTAAGGACTTCAGTCTCGGGAATCCGAAGCAACTTAAAGACGGCACCGAGCACTGGAGAGAGGATGGTCGAGGGGCGTGGGAGCTCCTCTGAAACAGGACTTGTCCCTGAGAAGGGACCGCCCGAGGGACAAGCAGGTTTCTCCTCTCAGAGACATCTCCAAGTGTTCTGCTGTGCTTCCAGGAAATTCTGCGCCCTTGCCAGCTGCTGGTCCCCCGCATGCACCAGTCCCCTGATCTCTAAGATGTGTTTGCAGTGGGGTGCCAGACCCCAAGTCCCCAGCCAGCCATGGACTGTCCACCTCCCCTTGGTATTTTGACTGGAATGGCAGATGGGCAGACCCCGTGGGCCTGGGGGTCTTGGAGGAGAGAGGTTAGCCAGTCCAGCTCCAAACCCTAGATTCTGTGAGTCAGAAAATGCTGCCTGTGGATTTGAGGGTGCCGGGCGCCTTTGGAGCCAGAGATGAGGGCTTACCAGGAGGCGGGGGTTCTTCCTGAGGTTCAGAACCTCAAAAGGGAATTTGGGGGGGTTTTCGAACTCGGGTGGGGAACACATGCTTCGCCTTTCGCAGAAATGTAGCCCTCCGTTCGTTACAAAGGCGAGAGAGGCAGGTCACCTGTGACTGCCATTGATAGAATCTGTGAGAGTCCCGTGTCACAGTGCACTGGTGGCTGCCTTGAAACACTGTCCGCGCTCGTCACCCCCATGAAATTCCCCGCCCGCACGCCCGTAGCACCACGGTGATATACGACTGCGCTTTTCAGGGTTTTGCCCTGTATTCCAATATAATTGGTTCTCAGTGATTCTCTTGATCATGTGTATCAAAAAATACTGCTGTGAGCTGATTCTAGAAACTTCCATCCTCTCCTACCTGGAGCTGGGGGGAGGGTGTCAATTATGTGCAAAGTCAACTCCTCTCTGTTTGACTGGGTAAGAATGCGAGAACCTGTAGGGGGTGGGAGGGCTGTTTTTCTGAGGACTTCGGGGAGGGAAGGGCTTCCAGCTCCTGACCGGGGAGGGGGCTGGCCCCTGTTGGGGCCCCTCGGCCTCAGCCAGGGCAGAGGAGGTGGCCAGCCTGGCGGAGTGGGCTGCCATTGTTTGGAGAGGGGCTGTGCAGGAATGCGAGGCTGCCTGCAGGGGCAGTGGCGGGGGTGCAGGAGGGGAGGGGGCTGGGGGACTCTGGGCTCCCCTGGAGGTGCCTGCCCTGGTGCAGGGAAGTCAGCCGGAGCTATGTCGAGGTGCCAGGACTGGGGGGCTGAGAATCCGAGAGTAGGGCTCAGGGAGGTGTGTTTCAGGATGGAAAGAGCCGCCCCACCTGGCGCTGGGTGGGCCAGACGCAGGAGGAACCTCAGTGGGAGAGACCGTGCGGGTGAGCGGCCCCGTCCAGGGAGTGGGAAGAGGCCTGGCTCTGCAACGGCGTGCAGGTCACAGGTCACAGGTCACACAGGGCGAAATCAGAGACTGGGGAGGGGCAGGTGTTCAGGGTCCCCCCCCCTCCGGGAGCTGACTGCTGGAAGGTGAGGTGGGAGTGACCCGGTGCATCTCGGCTTCAGGTCTGGAGGACAGTGCTTGGGTCTGCCTCCCACCCCATCCTCAATCTGGATCCAAGGCAGCCAGGGGTCCGCCCACCTCAGGGCTCTGGAGCTGAAACCTGACTGAGGCACAGCTGTGACCTTTGGCCCGAAGGGGTCGGTCCTGTGACCCTTGCTGGTGAGGGTCGGCTACTGTCTTCTGCCTCCTCGGGCTGCTGGTGTTCCCGGGAAAGGCTCAGTCCCTGAGGGGCAGAGGGAGAGGCTGGTTTCCAGAGCCAGGAGTTAAAACAGTGTCGTCAGGGTCAGGAGGACCCTTGGTTTCAGGTGGTGGGTGAGGCCGGCTGGAGACCGGTGACAGGTCGCCTCAGCTCTGGCTTCCCCACTAAACGGGGAACAGCATTTGGCTGAGGGGGTGATGGGGTGGGAGGCCTGGGGGCTTCTTTTCTGTAGGAACCAAGTTTCATTTCGGCCTCTGGCCCCTTGCTTATGGGGAGTGGGCTCAGAGCCCGGGGTCCCCTGGTCCTTCCACGGAGAAGGGACGGGACTGGAGTTTGGGCCAATGTCCGCAGACCGTCCCTCGGGACGATGTGTACAGGGAGCCTCGACTGTGGGGAGCGATGTCCCAGAGAGAAACTGGGGGCAGCCTGGTCTTCTTGGGGCCCCAGAACCATCCTGAGGCTTTCAGTCCCACCTGGGGGCGGTGCTCAGGTGTGCGGGACAGTGGGGCCCGGCCTCGTTCGCGGGGATGTTTCCTGCTGCTGCTCCCCGTGGACAGTGGCCCTTCACCCCGCTTCTGGGGCCTTGGAGCCTCGATTTCTGCACAGGGAAACCGAGGTTCAGCAGGGCAGCGACCTCCAGAGGCAGGAGCTGGGGCGGGGCAGGAGGGCCCCCGGCCCCTCCCAGCTCTGCGCGTGGCCCCCAGGCCCTGCAGGCTGAGAAGACAGGACCCCGTTGCCTCCCTGTGGGGTTCCTCCACGGGGAGCCCCCCTCCCTGCAGCCCCGGAAGTGCAGAGGCCCGGGAGCAGCCAGCCGGGGCAGGGCTGTTTAGGGAGGGACGGGCTCACCTGCTCCGCCCTCTGACTCAAGTCAGGACAGGCAACCTGGCTCCCCGGGCGCAGCAGCCTGGGAGGAGGGACACAGGGACGCAGAGCTGAGGCCAGGCTCTGGCGCTGGCGGGGCCAGCGTGAGGACAGCGGGAGCCAGGGAGCCAGGTCGGAGAGAGCAGCGGGAGGCCCTCTGTGGCCAGGGAGACCCCTGGGTGGCATGTGACACCTGGGGCACCGAGGCTGCGTCTGGACTCTGGACTCCGGGGCTCACTGCAGAAGCAGGTGATGGCGGGACTCGGGTGGGGTGGAGCAGCTCCCTGAGCGGCCGGGCAGCGGCCAACACCGGGTCGTCCTTCTTCTCCTCCTGTGGTCGGGGGCCCAGCGGTGACAAGGGTGCTGGTGGGTCCCCTCACCCCGATGAGGAGCCTGTGGTTCTGAAGTCTCAGTTTCCGCGGCTGGACAGAGGTCTACCACTTGGCTTCGGGGCACCCGTGGCAGGGAGGGACCCAGTGGCCGGGCCTGAGGGACTGCTGTGGGTTTCTCTCTGTCCCCCCACGCCCCTTCTGTTTTCTGCCTTTCTCTGGGGACCTTGTAGTCGGGCCCGCGGACTGGGGCTGGGGGTCCGGGGGCCAGGGGGATTCCTGGGTTGGGGAGTGGTGGGGGGCTTCGGGGCAGGGCCCCGCCGTGGGCAGAGCAGCTGGGGAGGGACCTGAGGAGGGCCCGCGGCAGGGCTGTGTCTCACTGTCATCTGCCCTGTGACAGCCAGAGGCCCCGAGAGGCAAGGTGACTTTCCCAGGGTGACAGGGACTTGAGTCTGGGGCCCCGACATGGGGCCTGTGCCGTGGGCTCATCGTTAGACTGGGACCACCGAGGACCAGTGCCTCCTGCCTGACCTGCGGGGTGAGAGCCGGGCTCCCCCCTGGCTCCCCCACCCCTGGTCCTCAGAACTGCTCCCCTCTGCACCAGGCACACAACTTCCCGAAGGCAGCTCCTTCCGGGTTAATGATTAGTGAGCAAGTGTGACTAATTCCCGACCCCGCCACCTTCCTTCTCCCTGCCCTGAGCCTGCCGTGACCACCCTGCTCCGGCTGGGCCTTGGCTCTGGGAGGGTCGGAGAGTGCCTGCTGCCCTCCGTCCGGCCCTGCCTCACCTCTTGGAGGCGAGTGATTGGGAGGGAGGGAAGCGGGAGGCAGAGCGAACTCCCCGCCGAGCTCCCAGGCCTGCAAAGGCCCCACATCAGCCTTCTCTGCTTGGAGCCCTGCCCCAGCCTGCCTGGGAGGCTGCAGTCCCCCGGCATGGGGCGCAGGGGCTGGAGAAGCTTCTCCCTGCCGGGGGCCCGTCTCTGCCTTGCTCTGAGCTGGCTTTCTCCTTGGGCGGTGGATGGAGGGGTGGCCCTGCACCCCCCCGCCCAGGGTCCTGGGCCCCCAGGAGGCAGGGTAAGCCGCAGACGGAAGCCTGGGAGGACTGGGCCACTGTTGCTCAACGGGCTGACTCAGTGAGGAGGTGGCTGGCTCTCCTCACAGACGGCCCGCCCGCCCCACCCCTGCCCCACTGCATCCACTGTGCTGCCCGTGGATTTGGGGAGGCGTGGGGGCGGGCAGCAGGTGCCGCTTCCCTGACAGGTGCCAGCTGGGCTGAGAGACACAGCCGGGACAGTCCCCCAGCCACCTCTGCTCCCAAGCCCCAGGGAGGCAGAGGTGTGGTGGTCTTTCTGTCCCCTGTGGCTTCCACTCTAGTAACATCCTTCCCTTCTTGCAGCCTTGACAGCCTCCTGGGGCTCCCCTGGCTGTGGGGGACGGGATCCAGCCCGAGTTGCCCTCAAGGGGTCTCCTGGGCACGGGCGGTGGCCGGGGAGCTGGTCCTGGGCTTTGGCACAGCTCTCCGGCACTTGCCTGGGTGAACCCTGGTCAGGGAGTGGGGCAGCCTGGGCTGGGGGGTGGGGCCCCGGCTGAGTGCCCGGTGTCCAGCGCTTCTTGGGGGGCCCTCACCCATCGGGCAGCAGGGTGGGCGTCATGCCTCCCGGGTTCTCTGCAGAGGGCAGCGAGCCCCGTGGGGACAGCCCACCCCATGCAGACAGCACCCCCTCCTGCTCCCCTCTCCCCGAGCTGTCCTCGTCCTTTTTTGCTCTTTTCCTGCCGACCTGCTCCCCAAGGTCAGTGGTTCCTGTGGCCACCACCGCTGTCCACCCCCTTGGTCAAGATGACTGTCCGGGAAGGAGGCAGCAGGGGCCCTCGGGTCTGAGCCCTCAGCTCTGCTCCGAGCCAAGGGGGCTGACTCGTAGCTTCTGCTTCTGTCTTTCAAGCTGGGGAACCTCCAGGCCGCCAGCTCGGCCTGGTCCAGGCTGGGAGGGGCACCACGCCTCCTGGCCCCAGAAGCCCACCATGGAGGCGAAGGACGAGGCCAGCGACACCGACAGTGGCGTCATCCTGCAGTCTGGTGAGTGACCCATGTCCCCAGGCCAGGGCTGGCCAGGTGGAGAAACTGCGGGCCTGTGTGCAGGGGCGGGGGGTGGGAACTGGGAGGGCTGGACAGTCTTTCTCGCCCAGGCGCCGGCCTGGAGTCTGATCCTATCTGGAACAGACGTCTTCCCCGGCTCCCTCGTGGGCGCCAGTGATCACTCAGACGGAAAGTCCCTCTGGTCAGGGCCTGAGCCGCGGGCACAGGCTCGCCCGGCCCAGCAGGGGATGAGGGAGAGGAGGCGCACACGCCTGTACGCGTGTGCGGGCACACGCTTCCCTACGGGCGGCCTGGCCTGCGCCTTGCGCGGGGCTCCCCTGAGCATGTGCCCTGGGCCTGCAGGACCCGACAGCCCGGTGTCCCCGCTGAAGGAGCTGAAGGAGGCCAAGGAGCTGACCCACGCGGTGCGCAAGCAGCAGCGGGCCCTGGAGGCGCGGCTGGAGGCCTGCCTGCAGGAGCTGCGGGGGCTGTGTCTGCGCGAGGCGGTGAGGCCCGCCCTGCCCCCGCCCGGGTTCCCTGGGGAGCCCCGTTGGGGCAGTGGGGCTGCCAGAGGGGGAATTCTGGAAAGGAGAGGGGAGCATGGTGTCCCCACGTCCTGGGTGTGGGTGCTGGCTGCTCAGGGCGGGGAGAGGCCCAGGGCTTGAAGGGACCAAGCTGGTGGAGGCCTGGTCTGGAGGAGGAGAATGAGGAGGCTGAAGGGGTGGGGGGAGCCTGGGGACTGCAGTGCCACCACCCTGGGGACCGGAGTGGGTGGAGGTGTTGGGTGTCTGGCCCCTCCCAGGGGCTGGCTGGGCCAGCAGAGAGGGGCCTGGCTTCAGCTTGACCTTGCCTCCCCCACAGGAGCTGACGGGCATCTTGCCAGCCGAGTACCCCCTCAAGCCAGGGGAAAAGGCCCCCAAAGTCCGCCGCAGGATTGGAGCCGCCTATAAGCTGGATGAGCGGGCCCTGCGCAGAGAGGTGAGGAAGTGGGGGGGCCAGCCCGGTCCCCGAGGGCGGGCCCGGAGCCGGGGCTTCAGGTCTGGAGTGTGACGCTGAGCATGGTGCACCTCTCCGGTGCTTGGTGGCCTCCACCGGGCACACCCGCCGGGCGGCTTGGCTCTGTGTGGGTCCGGGGCACCCTCGAGGGTGTGGCCCGGGTGGCCTGGGGGTGGTGGTACGCCACCCCAGGGATCAGGACAGTGGGCAGCCCACTGGGGGCCGAGGCCACCGAAGAGCTTGGCGAGGCCACCAGCAGCCCAGGGAGGAGGTGACCTATTCAGACGGGTCCCTCTGGCTCCGGGACAGCCCTCCCTCTCGGTAGGGTGGTGGCCCAGGTCCTCCTAGGGGCCCTCCCCTGAGCTGTGAGTTGTGACAGTCCGCCCCAGCTCACGGGCCCAACCCTCTGGGGTCAGGAGGGAAAGTGACCTGTTTCCATCCCGCCACCCCGCCCGGGTGGGTCCCGGCCAGCTTTCCAGTCCAGCAGCCGCTTGGCTCCTGGGCCCCTCCCCGCACTCCACCCTCTGCCCCAGGTCGGCGGCTCAGGGCTGGGATCCAGAGCACCCCCAGCTCACCCCCGCCCGCCTCTGCAGGACCCCCTGAGCGGCCTGGAGCGGGAGCTGGCCCTGCAGCTGCAGATCGCGGAGGCAGCGCGGCGCCTGAGCCGGGAGGAGAAGCTGAGCCGGCAGGCCCGCCGGCAGCGGAAGCGCGCCCTGCTGCAGGAGGAGGAGAGGCTACGCGCCCTGGAGCGCTGCCTGGGCGAGCATCGGCGCCACCGCGCCTCCCTCCCCGCCGCCCCGCTGCCCCTGGACCCAGGTGAGTCTGCATCCCCGGGCGAGACCCTTGAGCTCACTCGGGAGGGTGGGCGCCCGCCGCTACCGCCCTGGCTCTGGCTAAGCCTGGCCTGCCTGCCTCCCACCGGCCTCTGTCCCCCAGCTCCTGAGAGAGCACCCCCTCCTTTCATCCGCATCCTTTCAAAACCCACCGCCCCCCGGAGACTTCCTGGACAGAAGGCACCCGCGCCAGGCTGACCTGGAGCCAGTTCTGAGGGGTCTCACCTTCTTGCCCTTATGCCCTCCGGCCCCCGGGCTGCCCAGCCCAGAGGGGTTTCAGGGTAGATTTCAGTCGGTTCTCAGGGCTGCCCCGGGCCCTTCAATGTGGAATCCAGTCCCACCAGTGCCCTGCCCCACCGACCTTTCACCTTCTAGAACCTCCTGGCTACGAGTGCATCCCTACCCCTGTCCGTTTTGGTCCCTCAGTCCCATGGCCCAGGGGCAGGCAGATGCGGGGCACCTGGTGAGGTATCTGGGCCTGGGACCAGCTGTCAGGGGTTCAGTGGTGAGGGGACTGCAGGAGGGGTGGGGGTGGGCCTGGGGCAGAGCTGGATTCCAGGCCTGGGCTGGGACCATTGCTGATTGATTGACCACAGCCCCCACCCCCTCAGGCCCCAACCCTGCCCCTCAGGTTGGGGGCAGCTCTTTGTGGAGTTGGGACCTCGTACAGGGCTCTTCCTGTCCCCTGCTTCGTGACCCCTGCCTCGGGCAATCCCACGTGGGCGGCTGATTTAGGGTAGAAAGGGTGTGACCAGACGCCTCCCAGCCCCCCTCAAGCAGCTGCCAGCCAGGAGTAGAGGCCGTGGTGGAGGCTGACCCAGGAGGCACAGGACACGGGGTGGGACCCAGGTCCGGGGGCCGGACCTCCCTGGTTGAAGGCCTGTGGCCTGCACAAGGACGCTGCTGTCCCCGGAGCCCTCCCTGCGCCCTCCTGGCAGGTCCGTGGAGACCACCGCACCCCCCGTCCCTGCGGGCACCCGGCTCTGCGTGGGGAGGAGCCAGGGAGGGAGGTGGCCCCTCTGCTGGGTCCTCAGCCGCCTTCTGCCCACCTGTCTGCGGTTGCCGGGTGGCAGAGGGTGCAGCGGGTCACCCTGCTGCTGCTGTTGATGACGCTGCCTGTCGGGAGCCGGGAGCAGGCTGGGACTGTCCCGGGGCTGTGGCGAGTCTTTGGGAGCCTCTGGAAGCTTCTCGGTTCTGGAGGAGAAACCCTGCCAGTCCCTGTCCAGGTTGGAGGGGCCTCCTCTCCCCTCTCAAGCCCTGTCTGGTCAGACTCGGTGTCTGGGGCAGGGGGAGGGGACCCAGTGCCACCCAGGGGTGCCGGTTCCGGGGCTGCTCTGCAGGCCCACCTGGGCTTTCCCGGGCAGAGGGTAGAGAGGGGCCGATAATTAGGAGCTGAATGGCGTTGGGAATGAAAAAGAAAAAAAGAGAGAAAACAAACCTAAAGGGAAAAGCAATAGCCAGCCCTCGCCCTTGGGGGCTGCATTACCCCGCCCTGGAGTGTAAGTAAGGCAGGGGAGAGAGATGAGTCGGTGCTTGGTGGGGGGCAGGGGGCCGGAGGTGCTGCCACTCGGGGCCATGATCCTGAGGGTGCTCTGAGCGCATCTGCTGGTGGGCAGCCTCACCGTCCTGTCTGCATGTGGTCTGCACCTGCCCGCCCAGGACGGGGCCACTCGCCACGTGGGCTCTGGGGCCTGGGCGGTGTGCCTCTGTAACCCGGGACGGAGTGTATTTTATTCCATGGGCATTAGAGTAGCCCTACGTGACTTGTGGCTATGGGCTGGCCAGCAGCCCTGGACCCTCAGCGTCTGTGAGGTGGTGGCCTGGGGCCCTGCTCCCAGGCTGTGCAGTGCGTACCCCGGGCTGGGGGTAGGGGGGCTGGAGCCAGGTGGCCTGTGAGACGTCCCCTGCTTGTCCTTGTGAAGACCAGGAGTGATGGGGTGGGGGCCCATCTTCCCAGACCGAACACCTGGCTCCGCCCCAGCTGCCTCGTGGTGGGTGTGACGGCAACTGTCCCTCCCCCATCTCTTAACCCGACATTTGCAAAGAAATCTTAATTCTTCTGAAAGAGTAGAGGCAGGTGGCCAGAATTCATTCAGAGGGTATGTCTTCGAGGGAGGCCCAAGGCAAAGGCCGGTCGAGGCAGCGTGGGGTCGGCCAGGCTCCAGGGGCAGGTGGCCCTGCAGGGGGGACAGTGGCACTGCGTGAGGCCCCAGTCAGGTTCGGCTGAGGAGCTCAGTTCGAGGACTGCCCGGGTCTGTGAGGCCCATGTCCCAGCTACGGGACTGCCCGCCCGGCCAAGGCGGCCGGGCGTTGAGTAAGCAAACCCATAGCCACGCTTCAGTAAAACTTTACAGAAACAGCCAGTTGACCAGGGTTGGCCGCGGGCTGTGGTTCACCTGTCACTGTTATAAAAAAGTTCTGAGGCAGCTGGATCCTGAGGCAGTCTGCCTTCAGGATTTTCTGGGTGACGGCCTGGGCGTTAGATCTGTCGCCCGGAGAGCGGGTTCTGAGCCTGGCTGTCGGGGTGTGAACTCCCGCTGCCCTGTGGGCGGACTGACCTCCGAGGCGTCACTCCTCCAGACTCGGTTTCCTGGGCTGCTGCCTGGAGGGGCTCGGAGCGTCTCACCTTAGAGGGGTGCCGGGAGGAGCCCCTGAGCTGACGCGGCCAGAGTACAGTCACTAGCACAATGGAAATTCTAGCGGTGTCCTTGGTGTCCTCTTTGTCCTCAGACCCAGTTGAAGATATTAGGGACGCCCACCCGGGTCCCGTGAGGCAGATTCTCACCGTCGGGTGATGGAAGTTTGCTGCAGGGCAGTGGCCAGCGCAGGTCCCTCCACTTTGCTGGGGCCCAGCGGCGCTCTGTGGCTAGTTGAATGCCCTCATCTGGCCGGCTCGGTCCCGCAGGCCCGCGGCTCAGAGCCCCGCTTGGCGGCTCATGGTTGTGATGCAGGATTTCTCCCACTTGGGGTCCCCCACATCTAAGACAGCTGAAGACTGCAGAGAAGGTGGCAAAGTGCCTCCATGCCAAGGGCCTTGCGGAACTCCCTCCCCAGCCAGCAAACGCTGGCTGTTTTTGACAGGTGGGGAAACCGAGGCCCGTAGCATCGAAACGGCTTATTCAGGGTTGCAAAACTAATGTTGGCCAGGAGGGAAATCAGGTTTCCTGACTCCTGGCTTCTAACTTCTGCCTTTTTTCTATGTCCAAGTAATAAATTCACACCGGTGGGGGACTGAACACACAGTGGTCACTTCCCGATGAGATCCCAGGAACACGCGGGGCGGGGCCAGGCCTGGTGGCCCCGTGTCTGCCCGCTTCCTGTGCTGTCCTCTCTCCCCAGAGCTCTGCGTATCAGACGACAGCTCCCTCTCGGACGGGCTGCTCCTGGAGGAAGGTGAGTGGGCCCTGCAGGGACGACCGTCAGGACTGGGATCCCGTGGCAAGACCCAGGGCTTCGGCAGAGTTCACGGGCGAGGACTTCAACTGGGGAGCGGGCTTGGAGCAGCAGGTGGATGCGCCCCACCTCCGACCAACACTAGTGTGTCTGCGCCCCAGGCATGCGCAGTGAGCGTGGGGGTGCGCTGGCCACTTTCCCTTCTAGATGCTCAGCCACTGAGTCAGGAAAGGGAAAGGCCCGTTCCAGCCGGGCCCCAGGCCTCCCTGCCTCGCTACAGGGCGTTTATTTTGACGGGCACCTGTCAGAGCTGAAGGGCCACCTGGCGCAGCCATTGTGCTTGGTGACGAGAGTGGTGGGAAGCAGAAGTCCTCGGTTGCGATCCCTGCTTACAAACCGCAAGAGTGCTGGGGGTCAAGGCGACCGAGAAGGGGGGCGGTCCCGCCCAGGGGAGCACCCAGGCCAGCGAGGAAACAGCACGTGGGCACAGGAAGCCGGTAAATAGACGGTTCGCTGCAGATGCAGCACCAGGAGCAAAGGTTGAAGGGTGAGGTCACGAGAGCCAGGGAGAGTCAACTCGGGCAGGCTTCTCGGAGGAGGCAGGCGTCCACTAGGGCCATGAGGCAGGGATTGGGCCCCAAAGACGTTTTCGTTTCTGCCTCTGGGCCCAGAGCCATGGCCCAGCGCAGCCGGACAGGCAGCTGGGGGAGGCAGGTTCCTGCCGGGCCGGTTCCCCAGCCGCTGCCTCCACAGGTCTCTCTACTCCTTGCAGAGGAGGCCCGAGTGCCGAAACCCGCCCCGGCGTCCCCGCCCCAGAGCCTGGAGGGGCTGCAGCCGGCTGGGCCTGAGCCAGGGGGCCTGGACCCGGCCCCCATCCAGAATGGCCCCTGGAAGGAGACCAGCCTGGACCAGCCCTACCAGAAGCCGAGGAAGACTATAGACTCCAGCAGCGAGTCCAGGTCAGGGAGGGGGGCAGGGAGGCAGGACGGGGAGTGGGGGTCAACTGGGGGGCCGCCCTGTCCCCAGCTGTGAGCTGCAGGACTCGGGGGCCATTCCTGCGCACAGTGTGAGCCCCGAGTGGCGGCACCCACCCTGAACCACTTCTAATCCTACTGCCGCAGCCCGGCCACCACGCCGCAGGACTGGCCCGCCTCCTGCCACGTCGCCCCTGTCCGCAGTGTCCCCGGCCAGAGGCAGGGCCGGACAAGTGCCCCCGCCACGCCCGACATGCAGGGGCGGAGGACCCAGTCGCAGTTGCTGAGGTAAAGGGCACAGGGGGCAGGGGACCCACCCTGGAGAGCTCCCTGCACAGGGCGGTGGCTCCTAGGGACAGGCAGCCACCCGGGGTGGCTCTGCTCAGGGACCCCCCGCAGAGGCCGCGCCCCAGCCTGGGACACCTGGGCAAATCGTTCGCAAAGCCTTTTTCTTCCCACGCCCCCTGGCTGCCACCTTGTTCTCACGGTGACAGACTGGGTGTCGGTAGGTACCTGACTGCTGGTCTCTGAGCAGTGCCGCCGATTCTCTTTAATTCCGTCATTTAATGTCCGTGAAGTCCCTACGAACACTGAATTCACTAAAACCGAGCCGTTGCCCCAGAGGGAGTGTGGTGTTAGGTCCCCGAGAGCGTCTGCCCACGACGTCCCTGTCAGCCGGCAGCCGTGACCCTGTTTTACCGGCCTTTGTGTTAAAGACGCCATATTTGACATAGGTCGCTAAAGGGTGAACAGGAACTCGGGTCCTGATGAGTCTCATCACCACCTTTGGGGTGCACAGAAGGAGGTTTCCAGGTGCCGTGCCAACAACTGATAGGATAACTAGTGAATAACAACACGAGAACAAACTGATTTGCACACTCGCAGCTGGGACCCTGCCTTTGCCCACCTCACGTCCTCTCCCTGAGACCTGCCACCCCCTCGTGCCAGGAACACTAGACTGTGTCCCTGTAGAGCAGTGATGCCACCAACAAAAAGTGCAAGAAGGCAGACACGTGGCCCCCCAGGGGCTGGACAGAGCTTTGCGTACAGTGTGAGCTGCAGCCAGAAGTCTCCTTGTTCAGTGTCAGCTGGGAAGGGGCCAGTTTCCCAGCGTTCTGTCCCCGCACGACCACACCAGCACCGTGCGTGTGTATGTCGGGGTCGCAGGGACACTGGCTGCGGGAGGGTCCGCCCCCGTACACCCCGCGAGCAGTAAGAATCCACATGCGACTTGATCCGTGCCCGCTGTGGCCCCGTCCTGGGGCGAGTGACCCGTCAGGACAGCCCACCGCACCCACACACGTCCAGGGTGCCAGCAGGGGTCCCTTGTTCATGTCAATTCCCTGTCAGGCAGCGCAGCACGGGGCGTGGCCTGGAACCACTCCTCACGTCACCGATGGCCCCGGGTGCTCCATGCGCCAGGCCCTCTGGCAAACAGGGCCTCGCTGCAGGTTGGTGAGGTGTCCCCTCTGGACAGACCCAGCCCCGTGTCCGTCAAAACAAAGTACAGCAGACGGTGGCTTTGGTGACAGATAGCGTTGTCCCGGAGTTCTAGAGGCCTCTGTTTCAGGGTTGCAGGTCACAGTTCCTGTCCCCTGTTCCTGTGGCCTTCCCTCTGTGTGACACAGGACAGCTCTTACACATCCTCTGAGTTACGTGGCGGTGGCCGTCTAGACAGGTCGCACGGGTGGAACGCCCTGAACCCGGGGTCCCTAAAGAGGCTGAGAATACGTGACCCTGTGGTGGCACAGGGGACCAGGGGCCATGACGCAGGCGGTGCGCGTGGAGTGAGGGGTGTGAGTTGCCAGCTGGGCGAGGCCGGAGTCGGCCCGTTCGTTGGGGTCTGAGCCGGCTTTCGGCCTGGCCTGGCCGCTGTCCCCGCTCCTCAGACTCAGGGTATCTGTCTGTCTTCGTCTGCCCCCAGGATGGACTCCTTCCGGGCAGGTCCCCGACGCCGCCCCACGCACTACACGGTGACGGTGCCCAGCTCCTGCTGGCCCCCGAGCGGACCCCCACGGCCGCCCCACGCCCCTCACTCCTGCTCCGAGGACAGCGGCTCCGACGGCTCCAGTGTGTCCCACGCCACCTCGCCCGGCAGCAGCAGCCCGGACATCTACGCCCTGCAGCCGGTGTCCCCGAACAGGGCGCCCAGCTACCACGCAGCCTGGGGCCCGGACGCCCCCCGCCCCTCGCTGCTGCTGCCCCCCCCCGGGCCTTTCCCGGCCGAGCTGTTGGTGCTGGTGCCCGAGGGCTGCCTGCCGCCCGGCGAGGGGAGCCCAGCGGCCCTGGAGGAGGAGCGGCTGGCCCTGCGCCTGCAGCAGCTGCAGCAGCTGCAGCAGCGTGTACGCCCCCGGGGCCGCCTGGCGCGCGCGCCCTCCCTCAAGGACAGCCCCGCCGGCCGCGCGCTCTGCCGGGCGGCCGTGACCCAGGAGCTGCAGTCCTGGCACGAGCGTGCCCGCCTGCGGGGCGCGCGCCCTCACTCGCTGGACCGCCAGGGAGCCTTCCGCCTGCGCAGCCTGCCCCTGGGGCGCTCCCTGGGGCCCCGGACACAGGTGAGGGCCGCTCCTGTCCCTTCCAGCCAGAGGGGGTGGCCAGTCTGCGGGTGCCTCCCGCAGTTTGCTGGCCAGATCGCCAGCTGGAAGGACAGGTCTTGGGAGACACTGGGGTCCTGGCTGTGTGTCCTGCTCAGGACAAGCCCACGTGCATCGCAGGAGAGGGTCCTCCCAAGACCTGAGGCCTCACCAAAGTCCGGCCCACGTCCACTCCCCGGCTGTCCCGGCTCGAGGGGCCAGGACAGAGGGAGCATCTGGGAAAGGCCCGACCGAAGCCAGAGCCCGGGGCAGCCTGGTGGCCCGTGGCCTCGCCAGCTCTGCCGGTGGGCCAGCTGCAGAGCCAGGTGGCATGTTGGTTCAGTGCGCAGAGCCGAGAGCAGACTGTCCGGGTTCGAATCTCAGCCCTGGCCCTTGCTAGTGATGTGGATGGGCAGGCGGGTGAACTCCCAGCCTCTCAGGCCCTCGATATCGGGGGAGCACTTTTATCCCAGACCGTTGGGGACATTTACTGAGTGGGTATGTGTGGAAGGGTTGGGGGGGCATTGTGAGCACCAGACAGTTAGACCGGGACCGGGCTGGGCAGCTCGTGGGGCTGAGCACCCCGGCCCTGCGATGTGGGGGGCAGCGCCCACGAGTGCATTCTGCTTCCCCTGGGGCCCAGGGCTCTGCAGGGGACATGGGCCTGAAGTAGCCCACGGGCTGCTTCTCCGAGACCCTTCCTGTCACGGGCAGGCCCAGCTGGACACGGCGTCCTCCGCCTTCCACTGCTTCAGGCCTGGCCACGGCGGGCCCCATCTCGGGCCGCACCCCCTCCTCTCCCTCCGTGCGAGCCCAGACCTGCTGGTGGCCCAGCCCCAGCCCAGCCCAACCCGCCAGACGGGAGGCTGCTGGGAAGGAACTCCGGAAGGGGGGTAGGAGGTCAGGGTGCCCGTCATGCCCCCAGGACAGCTGGGGGGGAAGGGTGACTTCCTAGGGGACAAGAGTGGTGCCCCTGGGCATGCCGCATGGGCCGCCTGCCGGGTCTGCTCACCCACCACCTTTGTCCCCACAGGTGCCCGCCGTGTGTGTGCTCCGCAGATCGCCTGAGGGGGCACCGGTGCAGGTCTTCGTCCCTGAGAACGGAGAGATCATCAGCCAGGTGTAGCCGCGGCCTGGACGCCCCGGGCCCCACGCGCTGCTCCCCGGCGGGGCTGCAACCCCCTCCTGTGCCTTCCGCAGCTCCCCTGTCCCCATCGCAGGCCGATGGCCTGGAGCTGAGACTTCCTTTTTTTTTTTTAACAGTTTTTGGTCAGAAGTCCTGGTCTGTGAGTTTATATTGTCATTTGTTCTCAAGATCGCTGTCACATGGCGATGTGCTGCCCCTCAGGGCCTGGCTGACCGGACCCAAGGCCTCCCTTGCCTGTCAGACCGACAGCACGTCTCCTTCCACAACCCGAGTGGCTACACAGAGGGGCAGCCTGGGCTGCAGCGGGTGCCCCCCACGCCGCGCCCTCTGGCTCTGAGTGTCCCTGAGAACAGCCCAGCACCCCTGGTCCTGTTCCCCAGCCCTCTGGGCACGACAGGGGTGCTGGGCTGGGGAGCCCCTTCCCCCCGACACTGTGCTCTGTGATGCGCACACTGACTGAGGGTGACCAGTCCGTGTCCTGGTGAAGGACTATCTTCCTGTCCTGCTAAACCCCACGTGGGGTCCCTGTCACTCACTGTCACTCGGGGCCCCATGGGCTCCCAGCAGCTGCTGGCCTGTCTCTGAGCCTTGGGCATCAGGAGGCCAGGCTGGGGGCCAGCCTGCGGTGCTGGCTAGAGAACAGCTCACTGTGACCCCCTGCTCAGGGCATCAAAGTCCCGAAAACCAGCCCTGGGCAAACACTGTGGAGAGGTGGTGTGTTCGAGGGCAGGCAGGGCGGGGTCACGGCCCCTCCCACTTCCCGCCCCACCCGCCTCAGCCCTGAGAATGGACCTGTGCCACGGGCCGGCCCTTGTTTTCCCCAGCAGTGGGGAGTGCCCACGCTGAAGGGTGTTAATGACCTGTCCCAGGTGCCAGGACTTGAGTAGGCCTGGGTGACTGGCTGAGACCATTGGGCGGTCCCCTGCTCTGGGCCTGTGGGGGGCGGGGGGGTGCCTGGGGGGTCCAGGGGGGGCCCTGCTTCAAGGAGGCAGGCACGGAGCCCCGGCTCTGATTCCCCCATGTGGACCTTTCCCCTCCGAGGTCCCTGCACTTGGTCGGCGGCACAGATGTAGCTACGGTCCCTGGGAAATTGATGCCTGACCCCCAAGAGGCCCCGCTGTCCCACTAGACAGAGACGGTGCTGCCCAGGGGGCCGTCCGAGGGCTGAGGGGGGCACCTGCATGCGTGAATGTCCTCTGGATGTTGTCCTCGCCCAGTTTGTCTCAGAGCCCCTCCCCTGGTCCAGCCACCTCCTGTCCCAGTGTCCTCGGGGGGCGGAGCCAGGAGGCGGCACCTGCCCACACACACCTGAGCGTCCTTTATGTTAACTTATTGGTCCTGGAAGGTGCTGGTGGTGTCCTCGACAGTGGGGCTGCACCTGTGTGGATTTTAGTGCCAAATACTCCAATAAAGTTTGTTTTCTGTGACCGGCCAAGCCGACTGGTTGAAGGTTCTTTTGCGCCGAGCAGCCCAGCTCTCAGGGTCCCGGGGGCTGCATGGCCTGGTCATGGGCAGTTGGGCTGGATGGGACGGGAGGGGCCTCTCGGGCCACCTGCTTTTCTGGCAGGATGGGAATGGGTCTCCCAGACCTGGAACCGGGCTGGGCTGTGGTCGGCGGTGAGGGTGGCTCAGTCTCCCGCGCCTCTGGCCGGTCCAGCAGGCCCTGCTGCCCGGTCTCCAAAGCTGGACCCTTTCCCGGGGCGGGGCTCTGGACAGGGAGCACAGAGGGGAAGGGAGGTCCCACCGGGAACCCGCCCTGCCTGCCCTGCAGGGGTCGCCCTGACCCAGGTGCTGCCCCCTGGAGTGCGGTGCCCCCTGGAGTTGTGGGGCCCCCTGCAGTGCCATTCCCGGGGGAGGAGGAGGAGGACTGGTGCCTGAGTCTGAGGTGCCCGCACGTCAGGTAGGGAGCCCTGCCTGTCCCCTGCCAGCTAAAGTGGGGGCGGGCTGGCAGTGCAGCCTCATGCCTGGTGCTCAGCCCTGGGGACCCGGGGTTCTTGTTCCTCAGGCCCTGACGGGCTGAGGCCCCCGGTGTCCCTTCTTGGGGGAGGGGAGCCAACTCCGTCTGCGTCTGGGACACGGACACTTGGTGACATTGTCAGACAACTGTGAGGAGTTAGTCCCCAGTGTCGGGGACTCCTGGGGACAACAGCACCCCAGCCACAGGACAGACCAGGAGCAGCTCAGGGGAGGGGGGACAAGGGAAGTTAGGGGGGACCCCCATGTAGGGAGCTAATAGGGGATGCTCTTCTGGGGACTCTGAGTGCCCAGTGAGGAGAGCTGGGTCAGGCAGGAGTTCCTGGCCCGCACCCTCCATGGGGGGGTGACCTTGGGGACCCACACCAGGGCAGACTGGGATTCTGAACAGGGACATGGGGCAGGGCCCTGTGTACAGGGCCTCAGGGCCTCGGCCACAAGACTCCCAGGATACAGGGCTGGACATACGACCTGGGAAGTCATGTCTGAGTCTGAAACGTCCCCCACATGGGAGACCCCGGGAAGCCGGGGTGAGTCAGGACCTTCAGAGGGTCCCATCTCCCCACGGGGAGGCGCGGGGAGGCCGGTGCTGCGGCCCAGCCCGGGCCCTGCTCAGCCTCGCCCCGTCCCCGACAGGACCAGGGCCTGGCTCCTGCATCTGCAACCCGCTGGGGACAAGCTGAGTCCCCGGGAAGAAGCCAGCAGCTCACCTGGCCTGGTTCCCATGGTCACCGGAAGCTGAGGGCCACCACCCTGCGTGCACAGATGAACCCCGATCCCAACAGGCCAAAACCAAACAAAGTGACCTTTGTGCTTTCCGCTGAGCATGTGTCCTCGAAGCCTGACCTGACAGGTGAGACCCTGGCCCGGCCGAGCCTCAGGTCATGACAGCTACTCAGAGGCGATGGTGGCACCGTCTCCTCTCTCCCCTTTGAGGTCTGCATGCCTGTCCCTCCGCAGAAGGGGCTGCTGATGACACCCGGAGCTGGGCGGGGACCGGGACCCCGCCCGGGCTCTGTCTGAGTGAGACCCCTCCCAGCCGACTCCGAAGCCACTCAGCTCCCAGATCAGGGTCTGAATTCCAGATTCTTAGCGAAACTCCACTTGGATGCCTAGCAGAGGTCTCAATTTTTATATTTTGCTTTAAAATAGAAAAAATCCTCACCCAAGGGTGCATTTATTGATTTTAAAGAAAGGGGAGGAGAAGAGAGGGAGAGGAACGTCAGTCAGTTGCCTCCTGTAATGCCCGACAGGGGATCGAATCCACCATCCCAGGCGTGCAACCCGACCGGGACTCAAACTCACCACCTTGCGGTTTACAGGACAACACTCCAGCCAACTGAGCTGCACCAGCCAGGGCAGAGGTCTCCTACTGAATCCGTCCCCGCCTGTACTCCCAACCACCGACCCGCCCCTCACCCGAGTCAGTGCCACTGGACTCTTCTGTCCCTCGGGCCAGCCCCACTTCTGCCTCCTCTCAGACCCCGGCCAGTCGCTGCTCCTGCTGGTCCCACCTGCAGGACGGACACAACACCTGGCACCTGGCACTCCTGGTGACAATAACAGATACATGGCGGCCATGCCGGTGGCAAGCTGGCTGAGCTGAGACCAAGGGCGGGGGGTGTGGCGTGGTTGGGGCTGCCTCTCGTGTGCACGGCCTCCTTTAAACCTCATGGCAGTGAGAGTGTCTGCCTGTTGTCCCCGCCACTGCACAGACAGGGCCAGGCAGTTTGGGCTTTTATTTGCTGAAGGGCACGGGGCTAATAAAAGTGGAAGGCCTGAGCTTTGAACTTGGTGGCTTAACCCTTGAACTTGGCTGCCTGCCTGTGGCTTTGAGCCCCACCCCAGGGCATAACTTTGCAGGCCCGTGAAATGGCCTGGTGGCCCGTGTTGCTCGGGGTCCCAACTGACACCATCTCCACCCTCTTCCTTCATCCCATGCCGATGCACCCCAGGGTGGGCAGGCTCCATTCCTAGCCTCAGCCCCGAGCTGCCTCGCACCCAGCGTGGACACTTGAGTCCCTGCTGAGGGAGGCTTGCCTAGAGTAGGGCTTCCAAGCCCATTCACATCCAAGAATTTCAAAGCCCATGGAGGACAACTCCGATGGTTTGCAGCCACAGGGGCTGACTCCCAGGTCTCTCTCTTTGCAACCCTCCCTCACGGGCCCTGCTGGACTCGGAAAACCACTTAACCAGGTCCTGAGTAATCGCCTTTCCCGGGGCTGCTGATGCCCACACGGGGCCGCGGGCCTGGACCGACGCCGTGGGCTCCCGAGCCTTCCGGGCAGAGGGCTGGCCGGGCAGGGCAGCTGTGCTTCCTGCTGCCACCCCAGGGAGCCCATGACGTCCCCTTGCAGGACTTCGCCAATCAGAGAAAGAAGCCTATTGGTTCATCCTGGAATTTCTAGAACAAGAAGACATGGTAAGGAAATACTCGGGGAACGTTTTGAGTGGGAAAAATAGGAAAAAGAAGAGAGCTCCCCGCCTCCTTGGGTTCTGAAAACCAGCCCTGGCAGCTCAGGTGGCTGGGCCACCGGGCGATCTGTGTGAAAGGACGTTCCGCGTAGAACCTGAGCCCCACTGACCCTGGAGGGCTGCAGAGGGGCCGGTCACCCCCCAAGGGGCCCGGGCGCCGCGCTGGCTGCTCTGAGCTGGGCTGTGCGGGTGTGAGCGGCCCAGGCGCAGCCTGCAGGAGGCGTGTGTGTGCTCTGTCCCAGCCGGAGCTGCACAGGCTCGAGTTCCTGCGGGCTGTGGACACACTCTGCAGCGCCGTCCGCGCCCAGGCCAGCGCCACCATGGACGACTACTTACCCAAAACCGTGCTGGCCAAGGCGATCGAGGTGAGAAAGGCCAGCTCTCCTGGGGGGAGGGCGGCGGGTCCCCCTGATCTGCCCTGAGCCCAGCACCTCTCTCTCTGATGGGGATTCTTTCTTAAAACAATATTTGTTTATTTACTTCTAGAGCGGGAGGGAGAGAAACATCCATGTGTGGTTGCCTCTTGAGCGCCCCCCACTGGGAACCTGGCCCGCAACCCAAGCATGTGCTGGGACTGGGAATTGAACCGGCGACCCTTCGGTTCCCAGGCCGGTGCTCAGTCCACTGAGCCCCACCAGCCAGGGCTCTGATGGGGATTCTTGTTTCTTCCCGGCCCTTCCAGACGCTGATCCTTCAAGAGGCCGGCGAGCTCCTCACCAGCAGCATGCGCCAGCAAGCCATGCTCTGCGTCGTGGCCCTGAGGTGGCCCCCTGCTGTCCCCTCCTCCCAGCCCCGGGGTCTCGATGCTGAGACAGTTGGCTTGGGAGGAAGGTCTAGGGACTTGATTTTCGGGCTGTGGGTGGAGGGCCCCACGACTGCCACCTCACCCACCAGCACCCGGGTGATGGGGGTCCCCGGCTTCACCACGGGGAACCCGTTAGGAGGGGCGTGGGGAGACTCCCCGGGGCGCCAGGGCCGCTGTCTCCAGCGAGGACTTGCCTCCAGCCTGAGGGACAGCAACAGGCAAGGTTCTTCCCCAGGGTCCCGGACACGTCCCCTGGCTCCCCAGAATGTCCCCAGAGCCCCCTGTGTTCCTCGCCCTCTCCCCAGCCAGGTGGCCCCGCCCTTCCACTTAGCCCAGAAGCTGGACCTGGCGAGCTCGGCCATCTGCTGCGTGTTCGCCCTGCCGCCCATCACGCCCAGCCCGGACCGCAAGGACAGTGCCAGCCTCTACCTGCAGGTGCGCCCACCGGCGCCGGCCTCCACCGGGGGTTCCCACGGGCGCCTGTCTCCCCAGGCAGTGGCTCCAGCACCATCCTGCCCCCCCCCACACCCATCTCAGGAGCACTTTAAGGAGAAAACCAGAGCCTGGAATATGGAGCAGTGGGTGCCCGGCCCTCCGCCATTCAGAAGAAACGTTTCCCTTGAGCTCACGGAATAGCTCTCATGGGCAGGGTCCCCGGGGGCTGCATTTGTCTGGGAGGACCC